AGTGGACTGTAAAAGTCAAAAGTTAAAAATAATAAAAATTAAAAAAGATGAAACGTAATATCGAAACCTTGATTCAGATTCCCAACAAATTCTTGCTAAGGTTGTAGGAAACGTGTCTGCAAATCCTTGCTCGCCAATGCCTCCTGAAATGATATCGAATGCGTCTGTTTAATCCGCAGGTGTGGCCTTTCTATTCGCTAAGGCCTACTTGATTAACAAGAAGCCACAATATTTGGACACGTGCATCCGCAGCGGGGAGCTGGTGTGGCAGAAAGGTCTGCTGAAGAAAGGTCCCGGCATCTGCCACGGTGTAGCCGGCAGCGCTTACGTCTTCCTGTTGCTCTACCGCCTGACTGGCAACTCCAAATATATCTACCGAGCTCAGAGGCAAGAATCCCATTGCACACAACATCAACGACATCCAATACCAGAGTGCAATTGTTAATTTGCTTTCACAAGGAGAAATGCAGTTCTTGAAGACATTCGTTTGAAGACGATCGATTGACAAAACCTTTTATCAAACCCACGATGGTCAGAAGACAAGACATTCATGTCAGAAGTGGGATTCGAACCCACGCCTCCAGTGGAGACTGCGACCTGAACGCAGCACCTTAGACCGCTCGGCCATCCTGACCTGCTGGTTTCATGGTCACTTATTTTTATTTTTTTGGTCTTTCGGTCAAGTAATTGGTTTTGATTGGTTCTTGAAGACATTCGTCGATCGATTGACAAAACCTTTGATCAATTCCACGATGGTCATAAGAAAACAGACTCCTGTCAGAAGTGGGATTCGAACCCACGCCTCCAGTGGAGACTGCGACCTGAACGCAGCGCCTTAGACCGCTCGGCCATCCTGACCTGCTGGTGTATTTGTCATTTATTTATTTTTTTGGTCTTTCCGTCAAGTCATTGTTGGTTTTTCAAATTGGTTCTTGCAGGTATTTGTCGATGGATTGACAAAACCTTTGATCAATCCCACGATGGTCATAAGAAAACAGAGTTCTGTCAGAAGTGGGATTCGAACCCACGCCTCCAGGGGAGACTGCGACCTGAACGCAGCGCCTTAGACCGCTCGGCCATCCTGACCTGCTGTTTTAGTGGTCACTTATTTTTATTTTTTTGGTGTCTCGGTCAAGTAATTGGTTCTTTTTTTAAATTGGTTCTTGCAGGCATTTGTCGATCGATTGACAAAACCTTTGATCAATTCCACGATGGTCATAAGAAAACAGACACCTGTCAGAAGTGGGATTCGAACCCACGCCTCCAGTGGAGACTGTGACCTGAACGCAGCGCCTTAGACCGCTCGGCCATCCTGACCTGCTCGTTTGGTGGTCATTTATTTTTATTTTTTTGGTCTCTCGGTCAAGGTTTTTTTTTGGTGGTTCTTGAAGACATTCGATGATCGATTGACAAAACCCTTGATCAAGCAGCACCTTAGACCGCTCGGCCATCCTGACCTGCTGGTTTTGTGGTCACTTATTTTTATTTTTTTTGTCCCTCAGTCAATTATTTATTTATTTATTTATTTTTTTAGACATTCGTCGATCGATTGACAAAACCTTTGATCGATTCCACGATGGTCACAAGAAAACAGAGTGCTGTCAGAAGTGGGATTCGAACCCACGCCTCCAGGGGAGACTGCGACCTGAACGCAGCGCCTTAGACCGCTCGGCCATCCTGACCTACTTCTAGCGTTCTTTCATCTTTCATTTTTTTTGGTCTTTCAGTCAAGATTGGTTCATTGATTTATGAAGCATTCACACCCGCAGGTTTGTGCTCTCTCTCCATCACAACATTCTTTTTCAACCTTTGGCTTTCCCTCCACAAAGGTTTGCAGAGTTCCTGTTCACGGAGGAGTTCAAGGCAGGCTCGCGCTCAGTCACCAGCTTGTACAGCCTCTTCGAAGGCCTGTCTGGGACCGTCTGCTTCCTGGTGGACCTGCTGCAACCCGAGCAGGCCGAATTCCCGCTCTTCTGCGTCTTTGAGTGAAGGACAGAACCCACGAAGAGATTGAATACTTGATGACATTGTCTTAAAGTGTGAGAATCAAGATGATATTTGTTTTTCAAGTGCAGTAGAAACATATCTCTTCTTCAGATTGTTTATAACAGCTCTTGTGTTAGATCTCATTCGATTGCGCAGGTCTAGCCAACTGTGGAGATGCTTCACACAAGTGACGGATTACATTTTGTGTAAAAAAGGAAAAAAAAATCCCTGTGAATTCAGGAAATCAAAAGTGTTCTGATGCTAACTGTGCCTGTTTGGAGTGTCTATGTGTTTTGCAAATGTAACCCACAACAGGAGTGGAAATTCTGTTGATCAAGTGTTAGGCTGGAAATGCATGTTCAGTCTTTATTAAATGGGTCATATTTTTTTCTGAGTGTGTATGTTTCACTTATTTAAGCCTTCAGTGTGACACAGAAGCTGCATTGGGTTCCAAACAACTGTTCATCGATCATGAATTTAATACTTCATAAAGGCAGTCATTATCTGCCTTAAATTTATTACGCCGATCAACATCAAATATTGATTAAAGGTGGTTTTATGTGTTTTACAGATTTTTATGCCAATTTGACAAGTTTGCATTTTTTGTTGTTAAGTTTGACCTATAAAGCTTGTGCAGTGGATTTTACCATGCGTTGCAATTTTTAGCTGTTTCAGAATATTTTTTTTTACCTGTTGCTGAACCTAAGAGAAGATTCAGAATCAGCACCAAAAAAAAAATCTGGTAAAGTTTATTCTCTGATTCAGAAATTTTGTTGACCAGTATTATTCAACCCTGTAGGTAATTATTATAAAATATTTTGTTCGCTTTTCCTCTATTCCCAATTTTGTACAATAGTATCAATTAATTGCATACTAACTTTAATATCCGATTATTTCATTATCCATCCATCCACCTATTTTTTCTAAAGAGCTTCATCGATGTTGGTGAGCTTGTGCGTTAGACGGTTGACTGCGCATAGTTTGAACGGAAATACAACCTAGCATCACAATATATTTGTGAAAATTAGGTCAAAATTTTAAAATGCCACTTTGCATGTTGACAGTTTCACAGCCCGGACTGGATTTCAATGGACTCGAACAACAATTTGGCATCGAAGCAAAATGCGCTGGTAAAATATGTCTTAAAAGTCAACCAAATTTCCTCACACTTGAGCTCTGTAGATCTTGGGCCATATTTTACTGTTCGCGCTTATGTTTTTTTTTTTTTTTTTACACGCGGAGGTTGCGCACTTGTTGGCAGTTTATCTCGTCCAGACTTCTGACACTCCCCCCGTGCGTAACCCGGAAATTTGTGCGCAACCACTAGAATTTGAAAACATCCATACGACAGCGTCTTTCACGAGAATTCGTGTCTTGTGATCTTCTTCGGATGGCGCACGTCACAAAGAGCTTCGAATTGAACGCGACTTGTCTGTCCAGGCAGTGCCGTGTGACGCCGCAACGACCTGTAATCGACGCGTTGTACCTCGCACGATAGCGCCCTCTATCCGCGAGGCGGCCGCTGTCAGAATTACACCCGGGCTAGTGAAAACATCTTTGGCGACGGTGACGGCGCGGATGGTCTGCGGTAGGTTGCGCGGTGCTCCACACCAGGGCGCCATCCGAACCGCCGACGCCGAACGGACGCGCGTCCACCGGCTTGCCTCCTCCATGGCGGTGTGAGCGAGGATGCGACTGCCCTTCTCCATCTTTTTGTCGGTGTCCCTATTCACGGCCGAGACCACTGCGGCGCTCTACCTGAGCTCCACGTACCATTCGGCGGGGGACAAGGTCTGGCAGCAGCTAACCTTGCTCTTCTCGCTGGTGCCGTCAATGCTGGTGCAGCTTGCCCTCATCTTTTTCCACCGGGACCTTGGTAGGGACCGGCCGTTCATCTTGCTCCTGCACATGCTGCAATTCGGACCCATCGTCAGGTCGGTGTTTTGGTTTATTTGCTTCTGTGATTAAAAACACACAAGGGGGAGCGCGTGCGTGATCTCTGTGCACGTTAGCGCACGCGTGCATGCGGTGGTTTCCATTTGCTGATGCACTGATTTGTTTGCTGCGGTCAGCTGATCAATACTCACTCATTGACGTGTTTTCCATGCCCTCGTTGTTGCTACCCATTAGGCCCACGAGCCATGGGCGCACTGAAGGGGGGCTGGAAGGGGCAGGAATCCCTCCAGCTCTATAATGCCCCCCCCCCCCCTTCAACACACATTTACACTTCAGGCTGCATATCTACAGTTAAATATGGCATTAGGTTTGTGCAACAAACATGAGTATGTGAAAAGAAATCGTGAGCAAAAATACCCCCTTATTTTCTGTCCAATAAGTCCGGGAGAAGAACGACATGTATACTTCATCGATGAAAATGTAATTATAATTTTTCTCTTTGAAGGTAAATTTACGAGTGCTACTGAAAGATTTGTCTGCATCATGTTGTCAGAACCATGAGCGATGACATGAAACTGAAATCCATCAGAAAAAAAAAAATTGCTGTGAAATGTAAACCTAACCTCTGTCATAAATGATCGAAGCAAACAGTGAAGTTGGTCCTTTAAGATCGGGCACCGATAACATTGTTATCAGTGAAAATATAACAAGTTGTCAGTAGCAGTGGCAATGCAAGATGGCTGCTCCGTGTTTGGAAAAACTGGATTACAGTTTTTGTATTTTTTTTGCTAGTGGGCAGCACAGTGGTTGACCGCTTTCGCACTTCTGCTTCAGAATTCTGAGGTCATGGCTTCAAATCCGGGCTCTGACCTTCGTGTGTGGACTTTGCTTGTTCTCTCTGTGCCATTCTGGGTTTTCTGCTTTCTACTTTCCTCCCGTCTACCAAACACGTGCCTGGTAAATTATAATTCAAGATTTTAAATCAGGGGTCATCAGCCTTTTTGAAATGGAGAGCCGTTTGCTCTTGCCCAAAATCTGCCGGGATGAACTCCGGCACACCCGCAGGCTGTCCAAAGGATAAGTGGTACACAGAATGGATGCATGGGTTATTTAGCATTTTAAAACAAAACGTTAAATGATGTTATTATTTTAAATGCATGAATTGAATTAATTTTTGTTCCTTCAAAGCTCGGAGAAAAGGGATGGAAATCATATATTTCTGAATCCTTTTTTTTTTGTGCAGCAGTTTTGCATTTTTTAAAAGTGTACAAATATGAGAGCGCACTACTTCTGTGCAAAGCTTCTTTATTCATGATTTCTCCCCAGATGCCTTAACTGCACATCACTTAGTGCTCAACAGCTGTGCACAAAAGTATGACTTCTGGCCATCTGCCTCCCAAATTGGGAATGATTCTAATCCTCGCTTGATAAAGCCTTCCAAAACATATTGCGTGCACAGATATGTTGCGACTAAATGGAAAAAAATGTGCACTTTGACCACTTGTGTCTTTTTTATGTATACATTTCATACGCGCGAGACGATCTGATCCCGTTCTTTCCTTTTCCTCCGCGAGTGTACACAAGTACACCGGCAAGGGGGATTGCATGCTTCCCGAGCGAAGAGCAGTTCTAAGAATAGCGTGTGACACCGTTGGCCTCCTTATCTTCTGACAACATGAGCTGAGAAGGGAAGCGAGCAGACGCATTTCCCCTTATCTGAGACCAAAAAAAACCTACTTCTGGAATGCATGTATGACTGCTGTTGATATACACGCGGAATGGTACACACTAAGTGTTTCTCAACCTTTGTTGAGCCAAGGCACAAAGTTTACATTAGAGATAAAAAAAGGCACACCACAAAAAACAAAAATGGCACAAAAAAGGTTGATACATTAGTAACTTATGAAATGGAAGAGCATTTCGTTGGACTGCTTGTCACTGCACGTCCCGGGCATACAGTAGCTGGTTGAACAGAAAGATACATTATTTCTGGTCAGTAAAAAATTTTCTGCACAATGAGGTGAAAGTGGATAAATTCCTACCCGCTTATTTGAATCTTGAAAAGGCTCTTTTGCTGATTGGATTGCTGCTGACATTGACAAACATTTTATCAAACTTGTCATGTTCAAAAGATCGCTGTCAGAAGTGGGATTCGAACCCACGCCTCCAGGGGAGACTGCGACCTGAACGCAGCGCCTTAGACCGCTCGGCCATCCTGACCTCCTGGTTTTGTCTTTGTTAGATTTTTGTTTTTTTTATCTTCGGTCAAGTCCCTGTTTTTTTTTTTTTTTTTTTTTTTTTTTTTTAACTTTTTTTGTTTTTTTTTTTTTTTTTTTGTTTTGTTGATTGCTTTGTTATTTTTTTTCTTTGTTTGGTGACTTGCGTCATTGAATCTTGAAATGGCTCTTTTGTTGATTGGATTGCTGGCTACATTGATAAAAACTTGATCGAACTTATTTTGGTCAAAAGACTCCTGTCAGAAGTGGGATTCAAACCCACGCCTCCAGAGGAGACTGCGACCTGAACGCAGCGCCTTAGACCGCTCGGCCATCCTGACCTTTGCTTCTCGCCTTATCGTTACTTTTTTTGCTGTTTCGCTGAACTCCTTGGTCCGGTTTAATGTATTGATTCTTGAAGCCCCAGTCAAGATATTGATTGGGGCTTGAACAGATTTTCTCTTGTTTTCCTCTCTCAGTTGCTGATTTGCGTCATTAATTCTTTAAAAGGCACTAATGTTGATTGGATGACTATTTTTTTGTTCTTTTGAGGAGGATTACTGGTTATACTGACAACATTTTTTCGGAATCCCGTTATGGTCCAAGGACTCCCATCAGACGAGGGATTTGATGTTCATTGACCTTTGTCTCCCAAAAGATGTTTGGAGGCATTCTGGACCTACGGCAGCGTGGGCCGCGTTGAGGAATCCTATGTCAGCATCACCAGGAAGAAGCAGATGCCCCGCCGGGGCGAGCCAGAGGAGGTAGAGCGCCAGGTGGGCCAGGCCGAGGGCAAGTTGGTGACGCACCGGGCGGCCTTCGCGCGCACCGCCGTCATGCAAGCCTTCCTGGGCTCGGCCCCGCAGCTCACCCTGCAGCTCTACATCTGTGTGCTGCAGCGAGGCGTGTCTGTCGGAAGAGGTGAGACGGATGGGGTGGACGCGGTTGGGGTCCGAGTCGCCGGCAAACGAGATGATCGCGGATGAATTTCAAGGTGCATCTCAAGGCACCGCTGGATTTGTGTTTTTGTCCAGGCACTTTGATGGTGATCTCCTTGCTGTCCATCGTGTACGGCGCCCTCCGCTGCAACATCCTGGCCATCAAGATCAAATACGATGAATACCAAGTGTCCATGAGTCCCTCGGCCTACCTGTGCATCTTCATGTGGCGCAGCTGCGAGATTGCCAGCCGTGTGGTGGTGCTGGTTCTGTTCAGCTCGGTCTTGAAAGTCTGGGTGCTTCCCGTGGTTGTGGTCAACTTCCTCGCCTTCTTCTTCTACCCGTGGATCTTGTTCTGGAGGAGCCATTCGCCCTTCCCGCAGCACATCGAGAAGACTCTGACGCACGTGGGCACCGCCGTCGTGCTGTGCATGCTCACCTTCCTGTACGCCGGCATCAACGTGTTCTGCTGGTCGGCCGTGCAGGTGAAGCTCAGCGACCCCGACCTGATCAACAAGTCCCAGAACTGGTACCGCATGGTGGTGTACTACATGGTGCGTTTCATCGAAAACGCCTCGCTGCTGCTGATCTGGTACATCTACAGGACGGACTTTTATGAGTTCATGTCGGCGCCGCTACTGATGCTGGAGCTACTGGGGGCCTATGGGGCCTGCATTTTTTTCATGCTGGTCTTTTACCAGTCCTGCCACCCGTGCCGTCGGCTTTTCATGTCCAGCATGAGCCAGGGCTTCGAGGACTGCTGTGCCCTCCTCTGCCTTTCGTGCAGCTCCGCTGAGTTGACCATCGACTCCCACAAGGAGGTTGGGCCCCGCGGCGAAGTCGGCACCTCTGCCGGCGCACGTTCCAACATTCCGAATGACCGGAGCCGAGAACTGTTGAATGGTGGCGGCCACAGTGCTTGACCCCTAAGTGCCCCGCTGACTACTTAGCACGTTTACACTTCAATCCTTGATCAAATTGGACTCTTTTGTACCATTCTCATAGCACACGTGTCCGTCCTTAAACTTGCATTATGCCAGTTCATTTAAACTCATGATGTCTTTTGGTAGCCTACAGATAAACCATGAGATTGTTTTTATGGGGTAAAAATAGTGAAAATACCAGTGGGGCTGAATGAATTTGAAAAAAAAAACATAAGTGCCATTTTTTTTCTTGAAATGTGTGATCGCGATTTAATGTGTTTATTTTTCTAAAGGTCCTCTTGCAATGTATTTTTTTGAGCCAACACAAGCAATAAGTTAATATGGATCACGATAATCAACATCCAATTTATTATACATAAATGTTTTGCTCTTACAGGTTAGGCTTATGCTAAAATAATGTTAAATGAACCATGGAAGAATGTAAAATATCCATCTATTCATGCATTTTCCAATCCGCATATACTGACAAGGGTCGCGGGCATGCTGGAACCTATCCAAGCCATCTTCGGGCAAGAATATTTGCATGTATGTATTCATCGCAAATACCTTTTGGTGGGGTTCCAAAACAAACTCATCCAAGCATACAAGTTTTTTTTTTTTTTAAGTCTGTCGCAAGCCGGTGGCCCATATTTAGCATGCATGTGTGTTTGCGCATGCATGTATTTTATGAAGACCTCCCCCCAGTTTTATGGCTGCCTGCATTGTTTTTTCCCCCGTTTGTAACTTGGCCATGAAAGCTTTATATGTGTTACTGTTGTTGTGTGACGTGAAGTATTTCAGACTAAAATCACCAAATACACGACTGCAACGCGCGTTTTATTATTTTTTTTGCACGTTTGTACAACCAAACCGAGATGTTCCGTTTGCCTCCCTTCTGCTTCAGTCAGTCAGCGAGTTTGTCTCAAGTGTGTGCGCGAAGAACATTTTTTTCAAAGAGCGCACACACACACACACGCACGCACGTATATATGACTGGACGATGACGTTTCACCGTTTCTGTGGCAGTGTCCAGTGTTGTTTTTCATTGAACATATCAAACCGAAATGCATTTAAAAGTTGAAATGCTACTCAAAAATGTAATAAATCTATATTTATACCTCGAGTTTTAGGTTTAATTCCGTCAACGTACCCTTTGGGCTGTGAAATATTGTATCGGCACTCTCCTGACCTCTAGTGGACAAAAGCAATTTTTTTCACACTTTTCAAGTGGAATCGAACAAAATGACTACAAGTCTCAGCGGTCAAACCCGGAAGTAGAGTGCCGGCATGATTAACCCCAGCTGTAACGCAAACTACTTCGTTTAAACATTACAGTGCCGGAGCCGGACAAAAATGACAACGATGCAAAAAAGAACTAAATAGACACCACTGTGATTGCAGAGTTTTGCCCACGCTGTGTAAAGTGACGATGGCGAACAGTCACTGACTGATTGCGATGCGGCAAACATCAAGCACAAAGGACGCAAGACAAAGCAAACAAAGCGAGCGTGCGTGATTGGATCTAAAGACAACTACATATCTGATCAAGAAAAGCGGCCACAAACGCAACTCACCTTTGGGCTATGAGGGGCTGCGTAGAATGCTGAGTTCAGCGAAGGCTATGTCTCTAAACCGATTCTTGACCATGATTATTAAAAAAAATAAAATAAAAAATAGCACATTAGGATCTACATTTAAATCTCGATATTAAAGTTTGAACGATAATACTGATTTTACCATGCGGTTGGAGTTTATATGTATGACGTCACACTAAAAAATTCCACCTGTTGCTGAACCTAACCATGAATTCATAAATATCATATAATAAATATGTGTGTGGTGTTCATGCATCTATTTTCAAGATTGCTTTTTTTCCCCCCTCATTATGGTTACAAGTGAGCTGGAGCCTATCTCCGCTGTTGAGAGTGTGAGGGGAGGTGCACCACTTTCAGACTATTTTTAAAACTTGAACAGTAAAAATAAACCATTTTGAACATATTTGTCATGGTCTCATTTTTTTTTTTTTGAAAACAAAAACTTGAATTTAAATGAACCCTAACAAGAAAAAGGCACAATTTACAACAAAACTTTTCAAATATCTTTAAATTCAGAACAAAACGAGACATTTGGTGGAAGAAATATTCTTGAACACATTTGGACCAAACATGGAATAAATAACAAATCATTGCTTTGTGCATATTAATACTGTCAGGACAGGCCTACTTCAGAACATAACAATGGAGATGCCACAATGCCTGGAAAGAGCTGTGCGGTCACTACAGGCGCTCAATTTACATTGAGTAAGCTCCTCAATGCGTCGGAATGACCAGGTACTGTATAATGACACGTCTGACTCATCGTGGCATCCCGAACATCATGACACGATTCCTTTCAGTCCCAGGCTGTATGATTGCAGGGATGAATACTGGAAGCTAGCAAAGAGCATCGTCATGGTCCCGGTGAGGTTTCACTGCCGTTATATTGCCACGGCAAAGACGCTGACCACACAATACATGGTGCGGTTCTCCCATCGCACTGTGCAGCTTCCTGGAAAAACACGTTTGAGAAAGTGCTGAACTTCTTTTGAACCGTATGTAGAACAAAGGAAGAGAAAATGTGATCAAAATTATAATCAACTGGTCTCATCAAGTGTAATCATGACTGTACGCTCTGGAGTATGTGTGTGTTGGATGTCGGCCTTTAAGGGGCATGGCCTTGTGAGTGAGATCTTTTAGTCAGCATGTGAGCATCTGAGCCTGCGCTGTGGCCTATGTGTTTTTGACATTTTGTCCCATTCAAAAAACTGTTGAAAGTGTATCGCAAGTGTGGCTCTCCTGTCGCGCATGTGATGGCGTTACGGTCCTTTAATTGCTCCATTTTTTTCCACTTCACTCAACCTGCAGTGTATCTGTGATGCAAATTGTGGCTCACCAAAACAAAATTAGCAAGCGATGGCTGGGGCACAAGGTATGACTATATTAGCAATCCAATGTGATAGATGATATCTCACCATCCGTGGTGTTGTCCCAGTAGCACGAATTTGCCGTGTGTAGACCGGCACCGCTCTTCTGCATGACGGTGCAGTGAACTGCACCCCCCCAAAAAAAAAACAACACACACATGCGTCACATGCTACATTCAATCACTAAACACACATCCCGTACATCACACGTCACTGGCTAGTCACCTATGTACTTGAACGGGCGTCCTTGTTTGACCAGGTGAGTGAGAGAATGCTCCACGATGCTAGCGCTCCACTGGTTCACTTTACTTTGACTATAGTCCATGCCACCGATGACGCCCTCGATGCACTGTGACATCAACACACACAAGCACAGAAACTGCACGGTTACTATCATCAATGTTAACACTGCCTGTAATCAGTGTGAGATGAGCCGTTCCACTTACCTCTTTAATGTTATTAGTGGCTTCATCAGCATTGAAGACCACCTACGGGAAGAACCAGTGGGATCATTTCGTTTGAAATTAAATTCAAATGTAAATGTCGCAAATTGTTTGATCGGATGCGAGAAACTAATGTCCAGTGGCCATTTTTGCAGGGCTGCAAGTCACAATAATTGATTATTCGGTCAATTTTTTTATTAACTAAAGAATCTAATCCAATCTTGTTTTAATTTGCATCCTTTTATTCACAAAGTTTAAATTACGTTTAGTTGAATTAAATTAAATGAAGTTAAGATGAGTTGAGTTAGTACGGCATAAAGCCAGAAAATGATGCCAAGATGATGCTAAAGCCCTGGCTAACGGTTGTCAAGTAACAATGTAATAATTGTTTAAAGGATGCTGATGGGCTACATCGCGAGTGAGACACTAATATCTTTGTACATCGGGTAAGAGCTGAGTTTAGTCTGGGTTGTTAGCGGACGTTAGGAAAACCCACCGTGTATGTTTTCCCTCTGCTGGGTTAGTGTGGAAAAGCTTGGTGCAGATTTTCAAAATAAAAACCATCTGCAGCCATTTCATTTATAATGCTAATGTTGTAAAAACACCGAGAAATGATGTGCAACCCAGATGAGAGGCATTCCGCTCAGACTCTTGGGACGAAGGAATGACTCTTGCAGCAGTGTTGTGGTTTGAAGGAACGGCGTCTGATACAAGCCACTGTTACTTGTACTCTAAGCAACATACGTACACACTACCTATATTTTTGGGAGCTTTTGCACGAAAAGATCAAATGTATTTCCTTTCTTCCCATGCCCCACCCACAGTTGCGAACGCAATCGCCGTTTCGCTCCTCGAGCTGACCGGCCCGTGACAAATCCAAGCCAGCTACAACTTTCATCCCAACGACGTGCGTCAAAATGTGACGGGTAATATATTCACATAGAATTTATACCTCGTCGCCATTGTTATACTCCTCCATTTGTGCGCGGACCTGCTGCTGTCACTGCCTCAGTCGGTAGGTTTTACGACTGTTCCTCTTTTGCGCATGCGTCAACCAACGAGCGCAGGAAGAAAGAGAAACGTTTCGTCGCCCAGTCAGCTCATTGGCGCCCCATGCTGGCCGTATGCAAACACTACTTCAATGACCTTCATTGAGAAAATGACATGCACGTCAACGTGAACTGTTGACCACAGTTGGCTAAAGTACTCACGCTGAGCTTCGGACAAAAGGTAAAAAGTACAGATATATAAAATATAAATGTACTTAAATAAAACGTAAAAACTAACATACCAAGTTTAATAGCTTGGTACAACGACAACAATCAAATGACATTACCTGTCACGTTTTGTTGTTTCACAGGTGGCTCGACTTTATGCTAATGTAAGCTTATGTTAAATTATTAATTATTTTCATTTTATATTTGAGCATGATATTCTTTTATGTTATAGTTATCTAAATTATATTCTGTTTAATAAGTGTTAAAACATTCTTATGTTGCTTGCGTCTGATTGGCTAAAGAGAAGCAGGAAGTGCTTTCGTGACTGAAAGGGGGGTGTGTTCGCGTTCATCCGTTCACAGGTGCAGACGTTCTTTTTTTCTTTTCTCCTTTTAATAAACTGCATTAAAGGATTCCATCTCTCCTTTTGTCATTCGTAAAGAAGAGCCATCCACTGAAAAACAACGAACCTCTCAACTTACACTATCAATACAACTTGTCACCATGCCGTTGCTTGCATTGTGGACGAAGTAAAAACGGCTTACTTAGGTAATAATCTCAAATATATAATAAATTGATGATTAATATAGTCCTTACAATAATATATCACAAGAAAAATATATAATATAGCATGTTATATTATTGTTATCCATCCATCCGTCGATTTTCTAATCCACGTAGTCTCACAAGGGTCGCGAGCATGCTGGAGCCGATCTCAGCCGTCTTCGGGCATTAAGTGGGGTACACCCTGAACTGGTTGCTAGCCAATCGCAGGGCGACAGTGGGCGGGGGACACCTTGAACCGGTTGCCAGCCAATCGCAGGGAATTATTATTATTATTGTTATTTTATATTTTGTTTTTTCCTCGTATTTTATTATTTTTAACTTTTATTTTCATTGCAAAACACTCACGCGCACGCAAACCTGCACACTCTCTCACTAACACGCAGTCGCCGCACACACATTTGCACA